GGTCAGGCTGACAGGCCTGTAGTTTCCTGGTCCTCTTTCCGGCCCTTTTTGTGGATTGGCGTGACATTTGCCAACTTCCAATCATCTGGGACCTCCCCAGAGAGCCAGGACTGTTGGTAAATGATGGAGAGCAGCTTGGTGAGCTCTTCCACCAGCTTTGTCATCACCCTTGAGTGAATCCCATCTGGTCCCATGGACTTGTGAGGATCCAAGTGGCTCAGCAGGTCACAAACTGTTTCCTCCTTGACTACAGGGGGGCTATTCAGCTTCTTATCCCTTACTGTCTCCAAGCTCCAGAAGCCAGCTCTTCTCAGGACAACCTGTCTTAAGGTTGAAGACTGAGGTAAAGAAGGTGTTAAATACCTCAGTTTTCTCCTCATCTTTGATAACTGTGTTCCTGCCCATGTCCAATTAAGATTAGAGGTTTTGAGAATGGTCGTTTAGACCCCAGTACTTTGAGGGAAGAGGAAGCGATTCACCTGGACAGGGAGGTGCCCCATTACTACGGGGAGGCTGTGGCATGGCCATGATTCCATCAATTCTGTGATTCCAACAATTGGAATTTTCGTGGTAGAATTCACTGCTGATTGAATGTAAAAATAGTAAGTAACAGTAGAAAAGCAGTTCCACTTTTATAGATAGCAGTGAGTTGCCCCCTCCTCTGCTATCTCTTAAAAAAAACCCCAAGAGTTCTTTGGTTAGAGAAAATTTCTTTCCTTTTTAGTAGAGGCTTCTCATTATTTATTGAAGTTTTCCCACCAGAAGGGAGTTATCAGAAAACCACATAAAATCTTTTTGGCAGGGACTTGTTAATGCATCCAAACACTGTATATAAAGTTCTGTTTCTATACAAAGTAATCTGTTACGATATGTAGTAACGAAACCTGTGAGGGATATGAATATTTCTGTCAAAGCCTGTGCCTTTTAAACAAGAGCTTGTCATTTTACCGGGTGGAGGCAGAAATAATTTCTTCTTTTATATCTGTTGCTCTTCAAATACCTAGGGATGGCTACCAAAGCTTATGCTACAGTCAGAGGAGAGAGAGAGGGGAGGGAGGGAATAAACACGGAAAGATGCTGATCTCTGTGACCTCAGAGCAATGCAAGATCACACGAGTTGTAATGGATTTACACAAACATGATGTTAACAAATGGCTCCCAGGGCCATTGATTGACATGTAGCATCAGTGATGATAGTTACACAGAGATTGTGAACTGGGGTTTGATGAGTGTGCTTTAACTCACAGAAACAGGATAATTTACGATCAGTAAAGGGACTTTGTACAAGCTCTACCAATGCAACATTTTTACTATAAAAGACTGATTTTTTAGTACCTCTGGGAAATGCATTGCATTGCTTCTCATCAAAGCATGCAGACTTTTTATGTGCCCATTTGCCTCTAATCTCTGCATGTTTTTTACTGGTAAAAGTAAAATAGTGAAATAGTAAAATTGCTGAAGTTCTTTTAAAAGTGAGAGCTGCTGTGTGAAAATAGGTTGTGTGAAATTCAGGTTTTATAGTCAAAGACTGACTGCTGTGGCACACATGAAATAAGATGTGGAAAATCAATCTCTTCTGTCTCTCCTGGTAATAGCAAAAAGTTGAGTTTAGACTGACCTGACAGAGTCTAGATTACCAAGCATGGCAAAGTCTTCATTTCTCCTCTTGCTGTAATGACTCTGCAGTGGAGGAGCTGTCACTGTAAAACAGCTTTTCTCAGGAAACAAATCTGACTCGGAGACACAAAGGGCACAGACTTTCATATGAAATGGAGCACTGTTTTTTCATACAGCTACCTCTCGAAGAATAATTGCAATTTGGATACTGCGGACAGAAGGCTATGCCAACAGGGACTCCACTAGCCCTGGACTGGCACTGAGGTTTCTTTGTGTGCTTCACTGTTGTCCTGCCAGAGCTGGCTACTAGGTGCTGTGAAAATCCTGAAGATATTCCAGATACTGGCTGCAGGCACCTAGGTAAGTAGCACAGGACTTTATTTCATATACCATTTAGAGGAAGAGTTTTCATCAGAATAGCAAGGCTAGTGAAGAAGTATTATTAACTGAGTTTTCAGCTCTGCAGACATATTTTAGTTTGGTCTTGAATCAACTGCTTTAAGGGACAGTTCTTTACTAATTTGCTCCTTGTATTGCCTTTACTGCTTCATCCTACACAGTCTCCTTGGGAGCAGCCAGGACAATAAGGACTCAATGCCCTAGTTGACCCAGAAGTGGAAATGTTTTTTATCTATTCTACATGATACTTCAGCACCTTTATCTACAGCACTTACATTTGATAAGACCTTGTTGTGATGAACCGGTATATTCTTTGCTGCCATGGGGCCATTTGCAGCACTGGAAGTCGAACAAGCAGAGCAGTTTTCTTAAAAGAAGAGCAAGAGAGCTTTGTGAAAAGAGGATGTGAGGAGGACAGGGCCAGGAAAGACAGAAATGTATATATGCTTGCACAGTGTTGAGAATAGAGGGAACTCGGAAGAAACACTAGATAAAAGTGCCAGTGCCTTCATGCAGAGGCCGTCAGCACCTCTGCAGCTTATTCACATGGGTTATACAAAACCTTGCTTGTAAGCACTGGTGCTTTTACCGTACCTCTTACTGTGACAAATTTCATTTCCCTTTTTCATTTCCCTCCTTATCCCTGGCCTGCCTCCCATCTTGCTTCCTCTTTGTTATTCTCAGTTAAGCAGGTTTATGATATGCATCTCTTGCCACACTTTATGTGGCTTCTCACATCACTTCTAACCCCATCAGCACTTCATTTGCTCAAGGCCCTTCTTTGCCTTTACAGCTGGTGGGCCAGCACTCTGCTCTCTGGTTCGTTTTAATTTCCTCTACTCTGTCTCCTGTATTCTTCACCTGACTGACATTGCTGTCCTCAAGAGGGCTAACTGAATTTCCTCTTCAACATCAGTGGCATCCTCTTGAGTAAGTAATTGCTTTTTACTTTTCCTCTCAGAAACAAGAAGTCTATTCTGTTCCCAGAGTGGAGGCTTTCCCCCAGGAGTGTTTCTCGTGTTGTCTCCCCATATTAGATGCCCTCTTCACTCACGTATCATCTCTCTTGTCTGTCTCCATTCTCCTTTAGGTGTTTTGCTGTTTCAGCTACTCCATCAAGCTTGCGAATCTTTCCCTTTCTCTTGCTTATTTCTCTAAATAGATGTGTTCACAAGCTGTTGCTGTTAGAATAGGTGATCTCCCCTTACCATAACTTGTAAGAGCCTTAAGGTGGCTTTCAGAAAAAATATTTTATTCATTTTAGCCATTTTAGAAATGGAACGGTTCCAGAAATAACACGGTAGTTCTCAGTAGTGGATGTTCTTAGACCTTGATCAGTGCACTGATGTGTCTCACATTAGTGTGTGTCTCAGTCTTTTTGAAAAGCATCCCCATGACTGATGCAACATCAGTCACAAGAATTGCACTGGAATTGAATCCAGCATCTGGAGTGCTCGAGATAAGGCAAAGAATACCGTATGCACTCTAGCAAGGAAATATTTTCAATGCCTATTTATAAGCTGCATTAGCATTTACCTTTAAATATACCAGATGTATAACCTAACATTGTAGCACTAACAGATCCTTTAACAAGAGACTTAGTACTTTATAACCCTGTGATCCCTCACTGAAAAAACTCATGATTTAGCACCATGGAAGCCAGGACTCTTCGCAGACAGAGAGGTGAAGGGCTTGCAGAGAAGCTGGAGACCTCATGGTGTCACACATTGGCATCACATTTTAAAAACAAAACAAAAACATACAAACCAAAACAAACAAAAACCAAACAACACCCCCAAAACACACACACACACAAAAAAAAACCCAAACAAAAACAACAAAGACTCCCCCTCAACCAAACAATAAAAACAAAACCAACAATGACAAAGAACCCCCACACCTTAGCAAAACAGAATCATATATATGTCAGAATCTTACAGGCAGTGTGCTTCTCTAAAAGAATAAGCATATTCCTCATGCTGATCAGGAAGGACTTTTAGAGTTGCTGTTGCTCCTGGAACTGCTATTGTAGAAAATTTTTGTTTTTTCTTAGTCTGAGTAGTCTCAGTTTCTTCATAGAGCTGATACACTTTGCTACAAACATGCACAGACCTGCCTTGCTCTTAACTGCATGTGGCAGGAAGTCTTTCTGTTCCAGCACTGTTTAAGGTGTTCAGCTGTTCATCTGATGTGGCATTTTCTTAGTCTATGGATGATGGAAATTTCCATTTTTTCTTATTAAAAGGGACTGATAAAAAGTACTGTGTACTCCAGTACTGGCTGGTCTGTATTTTTGCCTTAAATTTAAAATTATCACTGAAAATATCACTGAGTAGGTCATTGTACACAGAATTCATATTGCCAGTTCTGACTTCCCTGCTTGACATTTTTCCTCTTTCTCCTTTTCTCCTCAATGTTTAGCCTTACTTTCTATACATACATGCATACACACACACATATATATATACATTTCTTGTTTCTTCACTCTCTTGCAGATCAACCTGTGTGAAAGAGAACATGTTCTGTCCTGCAGCATATGTATGCACACCCCTTCCATCAGCAACCAGGTTTTGTACTGACTTGGACTTTGTCAGATGCAGGGAAGACCTATCTTTGAGACCTTCTGATCATTCCATATTTTCTATCTTCTGTCCTGCTGCTCTATTTCTTCTTCTTTTCTTACCCTCTTTGTAGATGAAACTGGAAGAGTGAAAAAAATACTTCTATTTGTTTTGTACACATAACAGAATTCTTACGGTTCATTCTTACGGTTTTCTGAATGTTTGTCTCAGTTATTCTCACAAAGTAAGAAGAAAGAAAATGCATTAGAATAAAGTGGTCCTAGAACAGCCAAAGTAACCCAGGAACGTCGGGCAGATGCAGTATCTTGAAAGAGAAGGGTCAGTATTTCTACTGCATGTTTTAAAGTGACTCTGTCTCTTTAACTAAAAGCCTGCAAAAGCTTTAGAGTAAATGATGTTTTCAATATTGTTTGACCTTCATGGTAGAGTTCATTTATAGAATGAACTTTCCTGAACAAAGAGATGTGCCAGTGTGGCTTCTAGGAAGCTGAGTGACTCAGAAATCGGCCACGTCATCATGTGGGTCATAAGAATGGAGTAATGAAAGGTTGATATGTCTGAGTAGATGCAGTCGGTTACTGAGGTGGTAAGAAAGTCAGATCACTTGGTTACATTCATTTGTTTGAAAGAGTTTTGCCGGTTTTGGAGTTGGATGTGATCCAAAGCGGTTGTGCTGGAGAACTGCCTGGTCTGGCAGCCCTTGGAGAGCCCAAGTCCTAATGCAGTTATCTGCAGCCGTGCAGGTCAGCAACCATAACTTAGGACCTCTTGGGAATTCAAGGGAGCTAAGCTGATTTGCCCTGCAGTCGTGTGTGTAGATAAGTAGTATCACTAAAATGCAGTCTAAACATGCATAAAGTGTGTCTTTCTCCAGCATCAAGCGGGAGCAGCTTTACTGATGCAGACTGCAGCATCTGATACGGAAAACCCATGGAAATGAGTTTGTTCCAGTAACAGGTCACCTAGAGGAACCTGTGAGCTGGCAGGGATCAGTTATAGCTTATCTGGGCAGCGTTCGGAAAGTTTGCCATCACTGTAAACGTCTTGTGAGAATTTTATTGCATCAGAGTTAGCACCTTTACAGAATTGTAGAAGGGCTTTATCTTTTATTTTCATCGATCTGACAGTAATCAGAATCTAAAAACATTCTTCCAAATATCCCTTGAATCCACAGTATGTTTTAAGTGTTACTGGGGGATGACAGTAATTTGGGTTGATCACACAAATTTTCATTGTCTGTGTGGAGGTGATTCAGTTGTGATCTTGCAAGAAATTTGACTTTTGCATAGGAAATCATATGTGCAAGTTTGTACCTAAATAGTACCTAAATGAACTTATTGTTAAATTGTAATTACAATATAACTTCATGCCTGCTATATGGTATATTGGGTATATATATATTTTGATAATATATATATTATCAAAACCCCCCCCCCCCTGCTTTACAATAAGAGAGCAGTGTGATCCTGGTTCCTCTTGCTTTATTGCCTTGTAGAGAAAAATGTGAATAAATGGCCATCTGAAAAGAGCTCCCAAGAAATGGTGTAGAGAATAAGGACAGACACCACATATGTATTTGCAGACAAGGAGAGAGCATTCATGCTAAAGAGTATGGTTTTCAAAACAGCATCTCTCCAGCAATGAGAAGGTTTCCTGAGCCCATAGCTTTCTGAGTTAAAGGACCATATTTAGTTTCTAGGTGTACACCTGAGGTCAGGCATTCAAACCTAAGTGTTTCCACAGGGTTTAAATTGATGCCTTCATTACAAGCTGTATTGTGTGCAATCTCTTCCCTTTATGAAGATGGAGGTGAGTTGGATGCCCAAAGAACGTGAGTTGTGATACCATCTTCTAGGCCTAGTTTGTCATATGAAGAAAGAGTCTCTGAATTCAGTTGTTCTATGCAATTCCTGCTCAGGGAGAGGTCCAGAATTTTTGTATGTCATAAGAGATGGGATCTTGTATATGGACAATCACTTATTTTAGTCCTTTCTGTAATACCTTCAGATTCTGAAAAATTATTTTTAACTTTTATAGTTGCTCACCTGAACTTGATAAGATAAACCAATGCAATGATGCGTTCCTTGTTTTACATGTCAGAACCAATAGCTTTACGAGTCGGGAAGTGCCCTGTGCCCCTAAGAGGTTTGTTAGCTCTGAAATCTACAGCAGCCTTTTCACTTAGCAGCATTTTACTCTTTGCTTTCTTAACAGGAACAGCTGATTGATGGTTTTTCCACAGTCTCACTACTGCCTCTCAAACGAGGTGCCCTGAAGCTGAATTCTTTTCCTTAGTTTAGCTAAAACTGTCTCAGAGTTCACAAGGCCTTGCTTTCAGGGACAGGTATCATATTGTCAACGCTGTATACAGGGTCTGTTGTTGTAACCAAGAAAAAACAAAGTGAATCGCTACTATACATTAATTCCTCCTACAAAATTAATTGCTATGAAGTATAATTTTATTCCATTTATTTCCTTGTCCAGATTATGTTTGGACAGATGCCCTCCTTTGTCTATTGAAACATGAAAAGCTAATGAAAAATATTAAATTATGCACTAAGAACAGGCAGTTAATAAAGCAGATGCCAGTGGTGTTGTTTAAGGCAAAACTACAGTAAAGTACTGGTACAGAAGGGAGGCTGCCTATTGTAGACATTTTATTTTCCAAAACCTGGCCAAATAAATGGAATTACCTAAGGAAGAAACTTTATTAAAAAGTTGGTCATGATATTACCCAAAGGTTGGAAGCATTCTCTGACGTCTAGGTGAAGGGTATATGTGCATAGGATAAGGTTTAAATTGAGGTTCTGTGCAATTACGTTTTACAGGCTTGGTAATGTGAAAGACAGCTTTCCTGTTCTCCTGAAGTTAACTCCAAGCTGACCTCTCACCTCAAGTGGACAGTTTCTCAAAGATGAGGCTTGGTGGAGCAGCTTCTCGCTACCTCAACTATGGAAGGCCAACTTGGTGCTAACACGGACATTTCTGTGAAAAAACCTCCAGGAGCAAGCCCTCCATCCTTCATTGCTTTGCTGAAGGTACACCGAGAGCTCCTGGTCAATAGAATCCGAAACACTCAGTGTTTGATTGATAACTTGATTAAGAACGACTACTTCTCCACTGAAGATGCAGAGATTGTTGTCCAGTTTCCTACTCAAGCAGATAAGGTATGATTTTTGTTTCACTAGCCACCAAAGCTTTTGGCAACTTTTAGTTTACCAGCAGCTTTCATGGGTTTATCTGGCAATTTTACATCGAGTGTATTTTGTGGTCTTTGTTATTTTGGAGTTGCCCCATCATGTTCCTTCTGGATGTGTGTCTCCAGCACATCTCTTCCCAGCCTGCCTGGCACTGCCTGTAGTGCCCCGGCACTGCTCGTAGTGCCCTTTGGCAGCTGTAAGAATGAGCAAGGTGATAATTGCTGTTCTGTCCCTCCCAGCTGCAGCTTTGTACTCTGATAAGGAGGTGTCCAGAATGGTTATTAGAGTATTGCAAGGAGAATCTGCTTTAGGGTGCTGTGGGACAGCTCATCCTGCTTTTGGAGAGACAGAAATTAAACATTGTTTTTGAAGTTAATGACTGTGTGTTGTCCATATGCACACCTTCCTTTCTCTTAAAAGACCTATGTATGTTGTAAATGTTATGGAAAATTTATATATATATTTATAACATTTGGGGTTTTAATTCATCTTTGGACATCAGTAGCAAAAATTATTTCCTGGTCTTTCGTTAGGAGAAAATGACCATGTACACAATTGCTCTTTGCATCATAAACAGATGAGGAGATTGTTTCCCAGACCAAACAATCATGCAGCTTCAGAATGCTGTCACAGTTAGGGGCAGGCAGACCATAAAAAATTCAGAGACCTTGGACTTCGCTAACAGTGCAGATTTTCATAAAATAATCATTCTTGCTGGCACATTGAAATGGTAACACAGTACTCACTCTGTGTATAGGGTCAAAGCTGAATAAATGCACACTGTATGATTATCTCAATTTCTTATTGTTCAGCATAATATGCATGATTGTTATTACAAAGCTGAGGGGGAGGCCATGCATCAGGAGTCTAAGCAGAGACGGAGAGCAGGGCCACAGTAGTGTAAGTGAAGTGGACTCTGTGGGAACTTCTCTGGAAGGCATAAAATTGCTTTTTAGAGCATACAAATTGTCAAAAAAAGCTCCATGTGTTTGCTGTGCTGCATGTACCTCACCCTGCTTTAAGCTCACAAGAGACCACAGTCTCTGTCTGGTTTAGGACTGAATTCTTTGTTCATTTCTAGCAAGGGGACCCAGACATTCCAAATGTGCCCCCAGATGATCGCTCTGTCTTGCAGAGGGTCTTGTACTAGGATTGCCCTGTTTTGGTGCACAGAGATCACACTCTTGCCTGTAGAGGCAACACTTGGTCTTGAACTGCTCCAGCCACTGCCTGGTAGCCATTTGGTGGCAGCTGCAGGCCACAAGGCCACTGCACAGAGAGAGCCTGAAGAATTGAGTTATTATGTTAAATGGAAGAGTTGTAGAGTTTTGGCTCAGGGTTAAGATCCAGAGGGAGATTTTGCCTACTGTGCTCTGGATCTGGATGGATCCTGAAGTAAACCGAAATGTGAGTGGAGTATTTATGAAACAGAGGGTGAATTTAAGGCATTGAGAAATCACTTCTTTTTTTATTATTATTTTAACCAGCAAAGGATTTAAACTATACCATCTAGCCAAGCTGAGGAAATCCTTTGGGTTCCCTCTTGAGGAGTGGTATTTATCCATTTTGTTTCTGGTTAGCATATGGTTTAGCTACAAGGTCAGACCTTCAGAGCCAACTCTCTTGCAATATCCAAACACAAGCAGCATCTGAGTTTTATGTTGGTTCAAATTCAGAGCTAGATTTTGCATTCATGTTTTTGAAGTATCAGTTTTGGTTTTTGTCCCCTGCTCCAGTCCAGAAAGGATCTTAAAGCAGTCACAAGAGTTACTGTCATCAAATGCTGTGTATCAATGATCTTTCACGTGGTGTTTCTTCAGGTTCGCAAAATTCTAGACTTGGTTCAAAGCAAAGGAGAAGAAGTTTCGGAATATTTCATCTATGTCCTGCAGAAAGTCACTGATGCTTACTATGAACTTCAGCCTTGGCTGGATGAAATAGGTTACGAGCCTTCAGAGAATATTTGTAGAAAACCTGTGGTAAATACAGATCCAGGTAAGGTCATACATCTCTATCCCTTCCCTTAGAACTACCCTGCTATGTAGGAAGCTCCAATCTGGTGACAGAAGAGAGATCTGATGTCGTAAATGATCCTGTTCTCAGCAGGAAGTAGGACTAGATCTTCTGAAGCTTCTTCCAACCTGAATTATTCTGTGATCCTAAATGATGAGCTATACTGAAAGTCAGAGTTTAAGTATTGCAGAAATAAATTATTTCCTCCTGAGAGGTTTTTCCATACTACATAAATACGTGATTTACTTTGTCTCCATCTGAAGTGAAGTTTCTGGTGCAATAAAAACACAAGCCAACACTGCACAATAACTGAGACTCTCATTTTTTTTGTCATCTCAAAAAAATCTTTTGAGGTGCCTGGGACTTGGTTTCTAAAATGCATGCCATCTATTTACAATAATATAAGTGACCAAACAGGTCAGGAAAGAATAACCACCCACTTGATAGAATTGCAGGTAGAATATAAATAAAGTGTAAAGGCTAATCAGTGACTGACAAGTTGAACAAGCCTTTGCAGCAAGTAAAGCAGCCTTTAACAAAGGGTCAGAGTGTTGGCTTTGCGTCTCAGATGAAAGATAGCAGCCCCTTAAGCCAATGCAGCATCAGTACTGGCTTTCAGGAAGTGGTGACTCAAGTGACCTTTCATTAGCACCTGAATTTCCCCAGTGAGTGATGATGGCAGCACAAATAGAACTAATCTGGCAAAGAACCATTTTTACATGAGAATTACTTTTGCTTATTACCCGCTCTGAGTTCCCAAAGAGGGGGGTCATTGTCTATATAGGCTTTTTAATAGTAGTTCACTGTCTTTTTAGTTAGCAGGTATTGCCAGAAACTCAGATATGAACTGGGACGGGACTCCAAGTTTGTTATGTCGTACACTCAGAGGGAGGAGATGCTGCTTGAAGAAATCTACTCTAACAGCATCATGGAGCTGGTCAATTTTACCAATGAGAGTCTTGGCCATGTGGGTCAATTAGAAGCCCTTTTTGATGATACAGTTGGACTAATTAATGAAGATGGAGAGACTGTTTATGTCTATGGTGATGCAGGAATTGGAAAATCCATCTTGCTGCAGAAGATACAAAGCCTTTGGGCCAGAAAAGAATTGGACATAGGGGCCAAATTTTTCTTCCGTTTTCCATGTAGGATGTTTAGTTGCTTTAAGGAAGATAAAGCCATTTGTTTGAAAGACCTGCTCTTCAAATATAATTGCTACCCAGACCAGGACCCCACAGAAGTGTTCCATCACATCTTGCAGTTCCCTCACACAGTTCTTTTCACATTTGATGGCTTTGATGAGATCTATTCCAACTTTGATCTCAGCAGTGTACCTGAGATATGTTCACCCCATGAACCCATTCACCCCTTGGCACTGCTGGTAAGCCTTCTCAGAGGAAAGCTTCTTAAGGGATCCAAGAAAATTCTTACAGCAAGGACAGGAACTGAGATCCAAAGAAACATCATTAAAAAGAAAGTGCTGCTCCGTGGTTTCTCCAGCAATAACCTGAAGGAATACACTGCTATGTTTTTCAAAGATGAGCAGCAACGAACACTGGTATTGAACCAGTTGGAAGCTAACCCCAATCTCTGCAGTTTGTGTTCAGTGCCTTTATTTTGTTGGATTATCTTTAAATGCTATGAGCACTTCTATTCTATGTTTGACAGCCATGAGCTTCCAGACAGTTCTGTTACACTGACAGATGTATTTTTGCTCATGATTGAAGTTCATCTGAACCGATCTCTGAAAACAGGTTTGCTGAAGAACAACATCAGGAGCCAAGCAGAGATGTTCAAATCCAGAAAGGAAACTCTTCTAGCTTTGGGTAAAATGGCATACAAAGGGATGGAGAACTCTTTCTTTATCTTTGAGCAGGAAGAGGTCTCCTCAGCGAACATCTCTGAAGAAGATTTGCAATTGGGCTTTCTCAGGACAGTTAAAGGTTACAGTGGCTGTGACAGTCAGGCCACTTACGAGTTCTTGCACTTAACCCTTCAGTCTTTTTTCACAGCTTTGTTTTTGGTTATTGAGGAGAAAGTGGGTGCCAAGGAGTTACTTGAGTTTTTCAATGAATGCTCTTTCACTGAGACTGCCCAGCCTACTTGCCTTCGCATCCCTTGGCTGAAGAAACAACTGGCAGGGGAGAATCCTTTCCAAAACAAAGAACACTTTAATTTTACCAACATGTTTCTTTGTGGCCTTCTTTCTGGATCCAAGCAGAAGCTCTTCAGGCATTTAGTTTCACCTGCAGTCCTTAAGAGGAAGAGAAAAACACTCATCACATACCTTGGGGAGAGCATGAAATCCCACCTGAAAGGCTACACTCGGTCCAGGCTTAAAAGCTACAATCAGATCCAGGTCCAGCCCAACTTTGTTTGGATGCTGAGGTGCCTTTACGAGACTCAGAGCGAGAAGGTGGGGAAGTTGGCTGCCAAACGCATGCACGCCAATTACATCAAGCTGGCGTACTGCAATGCCTACTCTGCCGACTGCAGCGCCATCTCCTTTGTGGTGCATCACTTTCGGAAGCGCCTGGCTCTGGATTTGGACAACAACAACATCAATGACTACGGAATAAAACAGCTGCTGCCTTCTTTCAGCAAGCTTGCAGTGATCAGGTAGGAGTCTTTGTAAGCAGGTCCTTGCGTAGCCTTGGTCAGTTTCACAAACTGGTGAGCTGAAGGAATTGATCACGGAAGCGGAGGAAGATGGGGATTACTGCTGCTGGAAGTTAAAGTTGCTGACCTTCTGAAATCTTCGTTCATCCAGTCATAGGAGCAGGGATAAGCTGTGAATATGGAAACCGAAATGGAGAGGGTGATAAGAAGTCCCTAGAAGCCAGGGCTGTTTAAACCTGTAGGTTTAGTTAGCTTCACCTCAAATTTTTATGAAAGGAAGTGCTTAAGGGAGAAGAAAGGAAACAAGTACGTCCCCCATTATCTGAAGATTGCCTGAGCCTATCTCTGCCCTTTGGTGGATGGGGTAAAGAAAGGATCTATTATTCACAATAACCTGTGATCAAAAGCTCTGAATTTTTTGCCTTTCCATCCTGCCAAAATGTCTGGCTTTCACAGAACAAAAAGCTATCATCTAGTACTCCCTGAAAAGATGTAGCTGAAGGCTTTAGATGGTGGCGCTTCCCTGAGGTGATGTGGAGGTAGGACATGGCTTGGTGTGGTCAGGGAGAACTAACTGCCCCTCTAACATCACAGACCATATTGTTTCACCCCCAGCCTTTTGAGGTTGTGCTATGTAACAATATCTTATTTGTCCAAACATTTAGGTGCAGAAAATCAGGAACTTCATATGTATTTTTTTTAAAGCTCCTTCAGCCCACAAGAATTTATTTTTTTTAACAATTGGATTTATTCCTCCTGTTTGGCTGTGCTCTGCCTTGTTTTCTTCCAAGACTAAATCAAAACAAGTGACTCTTGTTTTTTCCACTTAGTTGCAAATTGACTGGCCTCCCAAGAGAAAGCAATAAGGAAACTTCAGGGGAAAATGCATAAACATGTAAAACAAAACCAAAACCAAAACAAACAAACAAACAAACAAAAAGAATAAAAGGCCAGCCTTTCATTCTTCATCCCTATCATGTAATTATGCCACACCCAGTATGACCTTAGCACCATACCTAGCACCAAACCCATCTGTTAGGTTGCCTTTTTGTCTTTATGGATCTTCAGATGTTAGGACTTCCATTTCTAATGACCAATTTCTGCAGGCCAGGAAATTATGTTTTCAGCAGCTTAACCATCCCCTTCAAAGATGCAGACTGTTCTGATCTGCAGAAACTGGCTGATTTCTCCCATGTGCTCGTGAATTCCAAAGGGACCCAGTTACTAACTAGCAAAGGCCAGAGAGGCTGTTGATGATAAGGGACTCTCAGCAGTGAATGTTCAGCTACTGAGTTTGTGTAGAAACTAAAGCTGATCAAAATGTTTTTCCAGGAGCAGCTTTACACAGAAAATGTGGTTCATCAGAATTGGAATACTTCACTTGAACCTGTCCATTTAGTCAAGGTGAAAAAGCTTGAGAAGTTACCAGAAAAAAAGCAACAAAACTAACCAAAAAACTCCCCAAATGTGAAAAGAAGCATTTTTATTCTGAAAATGACTGACATTGATTTGTTTCATGTCTAGCTGGGACAACAAAATCAGAAACATCTAGCACACCCATGGGACTGTGGTTCTATTTTCTGGCCAGGGCTTTTCACAATCTTTATTCCGTGAAGCCTGAATGTGTTGAGACTTTCAAGATGCCTGGCTTTCACTAGGTACTCAGAGAGAAGGTTGCAAGAGTAGTAGTCTGCACAGCTTGATTCTGCTAGGGTGTTAGGCAGACTTTCTTCCTGAAATCACAATAAGCGCCGGAGGAGGTGAGATGTTTATCTGGTGTCTGACTTCCCACACGTTATTGTTTTCAGTTCTATGGAAAGGTTCCAGAGCATTGCCTTGGAGATTTGAGGCTTTCTGGTTTTTATTGGTTTTGAAGTAACCCATATGGAACTGAGCTGACATTTCCCTTAACGGCTTTTAATACGGACCTGTTGAATTATCAGAGGAAAATGCATAGACCTCCAGTCATTTGTTAACTCATGGGTGATGAACACTTGTAATCTGTATTGATTTAGAGTTTCTTTTCATTCCCTTCATTCCAGGCTCAGTGTAAATCAGGTCACAGATCATGGTGTAAGGATCTTGTATGAAGAACTCTCCAAGTACCGAATTGTGTCTTTCTTGGGGTATGTACCATTTGGGACCAGAACCCTAGATATTGATACTAGAAAATAAAACTCCAGTGCTGACAGTACTGATGCAGCAGAGGTGGGGTAGAAACTACAGTTACCTCCTCATTTACTGGCCATAAGCGAAGCAGCATTTTGTGTCAGAAATTATTCAGCTGCCACCCTGTAAAAGTTCACTGTGGTCCACAGCTTCCTCTCCCATCACACTGCTTCATGGGGTGGCCTCCATCAGACCCTTCTGTGACACAGTGCAGACTACTGTCAGGTTACTGAACTGTGTAGGCATCATAGTTTTATACCTAAAACCTTCAGATGTGGAGGGGAAAGAGAATACAAGCAAGAGAGTGTTTGCTTTGTAGCTGGAGCCTGTTGTTTTCTCTACTGATTTATTTCAACTATGCAAAGGAGATACAGCTTGGTAGAGAGTAGTATCAGGAACATAGACTTTCATGTGTCTTGCTCATGGTACCAATTTCTTTCAAGAGCTTAATTAGTTCTTAATCAAGTTAAAGCTGGAAGGCATGTTAGCTCTGACTGCCTGCTCTTGGTTAAGTAGGTACATAAAAATAACTTTTTGAAAGGTGAACATGAATACCAAGAATAGCTTTCTTCCTCAAGTGCCCTAATGTAAGTACAACTGCTCAGGTATCTGATCTTCAGTAATATTTACAAGGGGATTTTATGACTTTTAAAAGACCAAAAGTACTTTATGGTGTTTCCTTTTTTGACTTATCTTCTGGCAATGTTATTTTTGTACTAACATAGGAATAAATGGAAACTTTGTTTGCTTGGGGAGACTTATTATTAAAAAATTTATATAAATATTTTCTCATGATTTGCAGTCTGGTCTCCTTGTATTTTTTATCTAGCCCTTCACAATATGAATTATATATCAAAATAGAAATACAAGCAACTGTGAATATGTACAAAGCCATACAAAAAAGATAGATGCTATGTGTGCATCATAAAATATTCAGGTTGTAAATATTTAACAGCAGGAATAACCTATTTTTACCAATGTGATCTTTCTTTAAGCTTATACAGCAATCAAATCACTGATGTCGGAGCCAAATATGTTGCAAAACTAATCGAAGAATGTTCAAGCCTGGAATATGTTAAGTATGTTGGATCTTTTTTTCCTTTCTCCAGGTAAAGCAACTTGAAAGGTGAGGGAGAGTAGAAAAAAAATAAAAATTGTATTTGAAATAAAATATAATTTAGGCTGCAGTTGTATGCTCTTTTGCAGTAGTCTAGCAGTGGATGGCAGCAGGGGAAACGCTTGAATCCATAGTCTTTTCTGGAATATAGCAGTAAGTTAAAGGAGTGCATGAGACCTGCTCTTTACCTAAATTCAGTCTGAGCACCTGAGCAAGGCGTAATTTGTGCACGAACCTTGCTACCGCTTCCAGTAGGCGAATTCCCTTGGATTTAGTACCAGGCTTCTTAGAATCTGCTCTTTCATGGGCCTCTGGAGTCAGGCTGTGCTGGTGTCATATCTCAGCTCTGCAATTCCCCAAATTCACATGGTGAGTTGTTCCCTTTAATTCCTGGAACTTCCCCAGATAAGAGTGTCTGGCCATGCACAATACTAGTTTGACATAAAGGTAGATCATTAACCAATGGTTTAATTGTGACCATAGCAGAAAAACAGAGGTAACTGCAGCAATGTCAGCTGTTGGTATGAGTGTAGCAACTGGCAGCCAGGGACTCTTGAATTCTAGTCCTTGTTCTACCACTAACTTGATCTGAAACCCCACTATAGCCACATCCTTCACACTTGAAATATCTGCAGTTTTGAAACCCAAGAGCACTTTGGTTCTTTTGCTGCTTTGACACAGCGCTTTGCTTATTTAATCTCACTTTCACAAAAAAAGCCTGTTGACAGATGGTTACTTTCAACCCTCATAGTAATCCTAGCAATTATTTTGAGACAGAGTGCATGTTCATGTGCCTGAAGTCACTCAAACAAGCCAATTTTATGTCAGTGTAGTGACTTGAGGGGGTTTGGAGTTTGATCTGTTCTTTACATCCATCTATACGCAGTTACCCCTTCCTTGAACTCCAGCCATTTGATATCCACATAGGCTAAAAATAGAAAAGGCCTTCTGTAGAATGCCAGCCAGAGACACTCACTGCTGCATTGACCTGTGCCACTGCCTACAGCCCATGCTTGGAACAGAAAGACTCGAAATTATTGTAGCCTGTGCTTGTCAGCTGCAGCCTCCCCTGAAACCACACAATCAAGAAATATTCTGTTTCCTGTGGTATCATGAAACATGCTGCATGTAATTCATGTGCTCTGTAGCAACTGCTGATACTATGAGCTATACTAAAAACTAGGCTGGGGTCCTTGCCTTGAAGATTCTACTGTAATATCTCTGATTTGGAGCACTGACATGCAAAATAAGCAAAAGACAACATAAAATTATGTCTTTTAGTCAAAGGTCAGGTGTCTCTATTCTTTTACTCTAGGTTAATATTTGTAGCTAGCCTCCAGGGTTAATTAGCCTTAATTACTTGTATGGCTTTCTGAGCTGATGTTCTAATAGCTGTACAGTTGTAAGTGATGTACCTCATCAATTCATGTATTTTGTGCAGAATAGGAGCAAACAAAATAACTAGTGAAGGAGGGAAGTGCCTTGCCCAGGCCATCCAGAAGAGCAAGACAATGTTTGAAATTGGGTAAGTTTGGTGCTAAGGAGCAGACCTTGGGGCTTGATCTTGGCAAGGCATCTGTAAATCCATTAGGATTCCTTTTTTCATTCTTACCCTCTCTTCTCCTGCTCTTCCTTCCCCCCTCAACAACAGCATTAGAACAAACAAGTATAGAAGCACAGCCACATTTTCCATGGAAAAGGAGAGCTGCTTTGTTGTTCTTCCAGTTCACACAACGTTTGTTTTGGGGTTTGGTTTTATGGGTTGGGTTTTTTTTCACTTTTCTGACAGAGCCTTAAAGGAGAGACAAACAAATAAGAGGACAGTGTGTAAAGATAGCCACTTTCTTTATGGCAACACAGGTCCTCTGGGGATACCTGGCTATTTTTAAGTCTGTGTGGTTTTATGACTATTGGCACTGTACCTAGTTATTGAGTGTCATTCTTATGTTGTCAAACCTTCTGCATCACATCCTGATAAAATTGTGATCTGAGAGAATTAAAAGGAATTCACATCATCCACCTCTAGTCTGTCCCTAACTGGAGAGTCTGCTATTATTGTAGAGAGGTCTGAATGTACTTTAAACCTTTAGTTCCTGCCCTCTTTCTCAGGAAAGGTACTAGGTTTTATTTATTTTATTTTATTTATTTCCCCCTTCCTTCTGGCAAATCCCAGTTTCTCTTTTCACTCTACAGGAGAACCCATTTCTTAGAATTTAATACTTAAACACATGGCATTAAAACCTCTGTTTGGCCATTGTGAAAATCATACTAACCCTGAAATATGAAAATCAGATATGAACAATCAGATTTTTGGCCTTTAATTCTGTTCTACAACATTTCAAAAGTACAGTGAACAGTCTGCACATGTCCATACAGCTGGGTCTGCTGTGCTGTACTTGCTGTAATTTCATTGAAGGACTCCTATTTCCTCCTGTGGAGGAAATGATCACTCCAAATGGATTTAGGATAGCTTGGACAGAAATGTTTAAACAGATATATTCAATGTTTACAGAGCAAACTGCACTGGGTCTGAAGGACAAGGAAATTCTGGGGAACTTACTGGAAGTCCATGTGTTTAGATGCCACAAAGCTCAATTGATTTTAAAAGAGCTGCCAACTAATTACCCATCAATCTGAGTGTGGCTCTGAGTCATCAAGCTGTGATCTCTGTAAAAAATCCAACGACTTAGACCTCAGCAGAGGTGCTTTCAAACCTCATAATAGAGGGTGAATTTTCAAAGTGGTTAGTCTGCATAGAAAGGATTTAATCAGATACTCCTAGTAACTATTGATCAAATCTCCCCAGCTTGTACCATGTTAGCTTCTCTTAAACCCTTGTTTTGTTTTGCCATTTGAAATACTATTCCACAATTGTGTGGAAGAGCCCAGTGTTATACTGTCTTTGTGAAATTTTGATCTTTCTCTTGGCAGCAGTTGGGAGAGGAGATGTCACTTGTCTATAATGCTGAAGTGGCAGCAACCATTTTACCAGACTATTTTGAAGGAAAAGGGGAGCTTGTAGAGTAGTTCACCTCAGAAACTCACCTTGTTTGGCTGTGGGTCCCCCATGTGGTTGTGCATCTGGGGAGCCTTTCCAGGACCTGTACTTTGTACTGTGTAAAGGCCAGTCTGTGCCCAACAGGTTACAGGAAAATCACAGCCAGGATACGGGAAGGAAACACTGAGCACAAAATCATAGGATTTAGGACTTGGTGGGTTTCTCACATCAGCTCACTGTACAAGACCTCAAGACACCTTTACCACGTAAGTGTAGAGGGCTGCAGAGGGTTTTCCCAGTGCAGCAAGATGTTCCCAAAAGCACTCCTGCTGCAGCAGACTGTCTCCTAGAGCTGCTTCTGTGCTGGGGCCTTAGGGTACCGGTGAGTCAGCAGAGGCTGGTGGTGTGATGTGCAGGGAGTGGAACATCCCTGGCTCAGCAGGGAGGGTACCTGCCAGGTGTCTCTCAATCCTGAAAGACTGTGAAGTAATCAGGAAGGAGGGGAGAGGAGAGAAAAAAGGGAGAATGCAATGCCAACAGTCAGTAGGGCAGCACAACTGATATGTCCTGGTTTCCTCTCTTCACTAGGATGTGGGGTAATCAAGTTGGAGATGAAGGAGCAAAGGCATTTGCAGAGGCCCTGAGGAACCACCCCAGGTTAACAAACGTGAGGTAAAACACTTGAAACCAAGCAGTTCATTGTAGTGGTGGCTTTTCCATCATGCTGGGAAGCAATGACTCTCCCCACCAAGTGTTAGCTTGGAATGCCATCTGGTATCGCAGCCTTCGCTGTAACCAAGAGGCTTCTGGTGCAAGCAAGAGTCCAGATTGAGTCAAAAAGCTCTGTGCAACCATTAAACAAGTTAAAAATACTGCAGGATGGCATCCTTTCCTCTATCTGCACGTCTTCCCCTTATGCTGCATGGAGTTCTTGGCATTTGTGAAATGCACTAGCAGAAGGATGTCACAGAATCGGGCTCCCACTGAGCTCAGTGTTAACAGTTTCTATTGCAAAGGCACAACAGTTTTTAACAAATTAATTTTTAGGGGGATAAACTTGGTAGGGACTGTGACATTCTTACATTTGGGCTCATCCTGTACTCCAGTGGAGCTACAACACCACACATTCAGTGCTAATGCTAGTTCTCACTGGATCACAGTGAGATCTTAACTAGCCTTCTGGAAGCCCTAATGTGGGAGAAGTTGGATGTACAGCACAGGGAGAAGTCAGCACTGCTAAACAGCCCATCCCCTTCCCAACTCCCAAATGCTGGCTGGGGGTTTAAAGATGCATATTGTGGCAGTTGCTGCTCGTTTGGAGTCCCTCCACACAGCTGGAGCACTGTGTTCAGCGTGACCCTTCCCATTTGTCTCCCAGGTCCACTGGCCTTCACGGTGAGGGAGCAAACAGCTCCTTAGTTTCCCCACAAGGTGGCACATGGCACTAGTTTCTTTAGAAATACTCTGGGAGTTTAGGGATCTCTGGAGAGTTTATTGCTGCCACTTCAGATCCAGGGTTTTCAGAGCTGGTGTCTTGTCCTCCTTTCTGCAAGCGGGTAGTCGAGTTTAAAAATTAAAAGCTGAACAGGTGCAGTGACCTAAATATATTTAAACTTAAAAGCCCATCTGAAATAGTAATTTTCCCATAATTGCACAATCCATCCAGACACATCAAAGAAAACATTCTGAACTTGAATCAGAGCTCAGGGATTCTCAGAGAGCAAATATGCTGATGAATGTGTTTGCAAAAATAAGCTGTCTCCAGCTTGGTTTTGCGGGCACTTGGGCAGTGTGAATCCTCTGCTCTGCATTGTACTTGCACTTGGGCTTATTTCTTATCTTCCACTGGTTAATCGTGCTCCATGATTTGAATCCACAGTTAGCACCAGTGGTAGCTTTATGTGAAGATAAAGGGAAGATAATCCCTACTGCATCAGTTTACTTTATTTGCCATTTTTTGACCCAGTCATTATGGACTGAGAATATCTAGTTTCAGCTGAAGCTAGGAGGGACTGGCTGCTTGATTCCATTTTCTACCTTTTTTGAGACTTTGAATTATTTTGAGGGGTGAGATGCTTTCTGGATTTTGAAAGCCTGGAACATAACTTCAACTGGATGATTTTTCCAGTGTCTATTCAAAGAATGAAGGGCAGACTAAGAAATGTTTGTGGTTTGTAATGGAAAGCATTTACAAGCTCATCTCTCCATACACAGCAGAAGGTGTTGTATTTGGAAGATGAATGAGGTATTGGGGCATCGGAAGGACTGAAAGGACAAAGTGCCCAGTTCATACAGGGACTTGGGATGAAAAAACCTACGTACTGCTAAGTGTAATTTTTTGTCCTTGCTGAAAGCCTTGACTCTCAAAATCCCTGGGTGCAACTCTGCTGTCAGCCTCAAGAGCCCCACTTGCCGACAGCAAACCTGATGGCCTCTATGACAGGCCTGCACTCAGGCTGCAGCCCGTGAGCTGTTCTCACTCCTAAGTCATAAGGACTTACTGGTTTGCAAAGTATGTGAACCTTTGGAACACGCAAATGCTGGACTGTACAACTGGGAAGAAAATCATCCAGGATATTCCCAAGTATTTGGCAGTGGAAGAGCCAAGTCATGCTGTGTCTTACACGTTTGTATCTTTACTTCACAGTCTCGCATTCAATGGCATCACAACAGAGGGAGGCAAAAGTATTGCTGAAGCTATGCAACACAACAACTCCGTGAGAATATTCTGGTAACTGACAGTGTGGTCTCCTTCTCCTCTTCTTCTTTCTCCAGAGAAAACTGCAGCCTAATTTTATTTCCTCCAATCCCACCAGCCCTGCTGTTCTCCTTCTCTGCCTGACCTTATCCCATGTGCTTTCACTACCAGCAAGCTATAAGTTATCCCTTTGGAAGAATGTGGACATGTAATGCATCAGCAGGGCCTGTCTTTTGGGACATATTCTAACGACCCAGTGTTATGCCTCACTCTGCTCTCTACATCTTGCTTTCCCCATCTTCTCTCATTTCCATCATCTGAAGTCAAGTTCTTTGTCCCCAGTTTTTGCACCTCTTCAGTGTTGTCTCTACCTCTTTACCTTTTCCCACTACACCTCCTCCACCTTTTAGACACTAAAGCATCGTGAGAAAGTTATTAGAACACTGAAATATTGCTCAGAAAAACCAAGATCTGATACTTGTCTTTTTTACCTCCAGGGCTTCTCTTCTGTATCTCTTTGTGTCCAGCCTTTACAAATTGCTCAGGGCAAGAACAGCCCTTTGGCTGTCTAAAACTAAGTCACAGTCAAGCTGGAAAAACAGGGGGCTGAAAAATAATTACATCCTAAGTGAACATTTTTTTCTCCCACTTAGGTTGACTAAAAACGAGCTGGATGATGAGGCAGCAATGAGCTTTGCAGAGATGCTGAAGGTCAACAAGAAACTGGTGCATTTATGGTGAGTTACATTCCACAGAGGCACAGGCTCTTTGGCAGTCACTACATTAAAGCTTCACCTTCCAAGTCTATGTAGGTCACAGTAAGCTTTCTGTGCATGGTCTGGATGCAGCTGACTGGTTGTAGACAGTTCTAACGGGAAGTTAGTAAAGCCACTGTCTAGCACTTTCAGCCTGCTTTCATACGGGGTAAAGTTTAAGCTGTTTGCGGGTCTTGGTAATTTTCAAACTACTGATTGATTTCGCCTCTCATTAAGGGAACAGTACTGGCCTTAAACTCAAAGGTTTAAAAAAAAAAAAAAAAAAAAAAAGAAGGACAAGACATAACCAGACAGCTAGAATAGAATAAGGTTATTATGTTTCTTTCTATTTCTCATCATACTATGAAAGTAGCTAGCTCAGCTCTTACTCGTCAACCAAAAACCTACATGACAGACACCTGAATACATGTTGCATTTGTCTGATGCTTTCTTCTAGGGCTAGCAATACACTCATGCAAGACACTCATCTCTAAGGCACAAATCCCCAGGAAACCAGGGATTATTTCTAGCAATCACAATGAGACTTGTTACACTTCTAAGAAAACACAGTGTTAGCTTTTCTAATCCAGAGGTTCACAAGAATCCGTCGATGAATGGGGTTGGGCAGAAGTGGGCTGTGAAACAAATAGCCATCCATTCATTTCAAGCGACCAAGAGAACATAAGAAATGGAGTCCCTTTACAAGCTTTATGAAGACTTTGCTAACCACACTCTAGCACACTCCCTGTATTAATCCTAGTTTCCACCCCTTAGGAAGCATGCTGGTTGTCATGGGTGCCAAGTACTTGCAGCCCCTTTTGAAAGCAACGCAAGCTGTGGTGCCCATCTCCCTGAAAATAAAAAGGAGGGGGGGAAGTGTTCGATTTCTTTGTGCACAGCTGCAGATATAAGTCACTGAGTAGTTTGGTTTGAGTTCATAATGAAATTTTCCCCAGCCAAAGCAGGCACAGTAATCTAAATACATGTCTTTACCACGACTCAGTATTGTCCAAGGGTTTCTGCGAGTAGACAAGTTTATATCCTACTTTGTTGGTTACACCAGTGGATACCTCCAAAAAGTAGTGACCTAAATATAGTGAACTTGAGGCGGAATAAAAATCTTTTTCTTTAGGTAGCTGAAAGAATCTACTGGAATCTTTTGCATTTTGATTCATTCACCAAGTGCAGAAAGTCCATTAATGGGAAAACTTATCTCTCTCCCTCCCTCCCTAAAAGATTGTTCAATACACCCCAATTTTCAGCCCAATCCTGAATCCTGAGGGATTCGTGCAACCAGTCACATGGAATGGTACAGCTATGTGGCTCACCATGGTAGACTGAAAGGTGAGAATTAATTAGGCTAGGCTGATGAGACTTTTTGTACTCATGCAGGAGAATTTGGCAGCCTCTGGACCATAACTGCTAAAACACTAGGCCTATACAGAGTCTGTAGTCAGAATTTCCTGTACATCACTTAAAAATGTCTCACAGTATTCTTAGTAAGAAAACAGAGCTAAGAGGTTTATCTGCCTCAGAGAGTCCAAATACCACAATCTCATACCACTAGTGAACAGTTCTTAGCAAAAATTTGTCAGCTGTGTAATTAAGCTCAGTATCTCCAGAATGCAACCACATGCAAGATTAAAAGGAAAAAACTAATACTCAAATGTGGGGCATTGGACCAATACTGTGTACCATTCTCATGGATAAAATCATAACCATCTTCTTGTGGCAGACAGCTTTGCTCCTTGATGTCAGGCTGAGCGTAGGTTAAGGAGGTGCTGCAGATTAGTTTGCACATTAGTTTGACATGAAATGCTTTCTTTTTAGGCTTATACAGAATCAAATTACAGCCAAAGGGGTGAAGTGCCTCAGCGAAGCTCTCAAGGAGAACACGACCATTAAAGAAATCTGGTAAAGATCCCTTCCTCAAAGGCTCACTTGTAAACTTTCTTTCCCTTTAAAACACTACTGGCCTTACTGCTTTCCAACCTAAAAAATTCAGAGCAAGTTTATGTGAGGCAGGGGTTGTAGTTCCAGCTGTGGATTTCAAATAGGTAAAAAGCTGCTGCCATTGAAACATTTTCTTTTTTTGTTATGAATGTCAAGCAGTTTTCTTAGTTCACATCTGTCTGTACCACTGATTTGCAGATCATGTGGGTTTGCAGAACCAGGGCCTAAACTTACAGACCAAATTTTGTTTGTCCTGTTTTTTCACTTTTAAACTTCTGAACGTGCTCATGCTTTTCAGGACCTAAATCCCAACAAGCAGGAGATGGTTCTATTTAATCAGCATTACTAATTTGGTTTGTAGAATTTGTGCTTGGATTTTCTTTGGGCGGTGCTCCAAACACACTGGAAGTGCTAAGCTGCAAGAAGATTAACTTTTTGTAGGATTTGTTTGTTTTAGATTAGGTGGGCATCACATAGTCACACGTGTGCATTTAAGGCAGAAAGCCAAATACCACATTCCTTGCTTCACCTCAGGGAGCTCCAAAGTCAATAGAACTGAGCTGGTTTTAGTGCTGCTACTTTATTATTGAATATGAAATTTATTTCTAAATATATGTATTTGTTTTACTGAAAGGACACTGAATTCTTGCTTAGAAAGACAATGACTCACTGTCTGACTAGTGTGTTCCCTGGAGATGTGGAAGAGGTGCTTTTTTTCAAAAACCACTGTCAGTGTTTGTCTGTAGAAGAGGCATCAACTCCCACTCAGATAATTCTGAATCTTCAAACTAAAATCTGTCTCTTGATTCTGGCCTGACTGTTCAGAAGCATTCATTACCCCGAATAATTTCATACGTCTAAATGGTTTAAAAGATTTCAACATTTCTCTAAGCAGCACTTAACCAGGCTGCTCATTTTCAGGGGTGTAAATACCAGTGTAGATTCACTTTGCATAGCCAGAATTGAAGATTTTTCTATCGGTCATTTCACATTAATGATGCCTGAGTACTTCACGGGGTTTTCTTCCCCTGTTGTCAGGGAAGGCACAAAATGCTTTGAGGACGATTTAAATTTCTCCAAACTAGCCCACTGCATGATAAGAACCTTTATCAGCTATATGCTGCTTGCTGAAATGCAAACAGGTGGGTTTCCAACACCAAGTTCAGTTACTGGAGTTTAGGTGTGTGTTGGGATTTTATTTCTGAAGGAGAAGCCTTGTTCCCTGCACGTGCAGTGGGAACAGCAGTGCTGTAGCCGGCCTGTCTGATGCCAGTTCCCAGTTGCACGCCTTTGAGAAGTGTGCAGCTCACACAGCATTGCAAACCTGTGATCTCTGCTCCAAAACCTTGGAAAAATAGAAGATGGGCAACAGTCACTACCTTGCTTTCACATTCCCTTTTTTTTTTTCCCCTCCAGTTTGAACGGGAACCTGATAAGCCAAGAAGAGTCGAAAGCTTTTGAAAATGAAGAACGGATCATTTGCTTTTGAATGAGGACATTTTGCCAAGTTCATTTAACAAAGGTCACTCCTACGCTTGGACCACAGAGTTTATAAAGGCAGAAATCCACAGGGCTCATGGCAGGAGAGACATACATGATTAGCTGCCTTTTTACAAACATGCTGCACTCCCTCAGCTCCATCCCTTACCCTGCTTGTTATTCCTAATCCTTTTGGTGAGTGGGAAGTTGCCTGGGTAAATAATTAATGTTGGTACGGGGCTTTGAAGATGAAATGCAAAGTGTTGTTAACAGACTAAATCCACTGGCAGGTGTATGCATTTTGATAACTGAGTTTAGGTTTACTCGGTACAGTGATGTAAATAATTTCTAACTTATTTATATCCTTAAATATATACACACACACACAAATACATATATGCAAGAAAGGGTGCAAGATGCACAAATTCCACCAGCTCACAGTATTACCTGCCTCAGAACTGAAAATGAACATATGTAGCTTTACTAGAAACAGGATCTATAGTAGTTGCTTGGTATGAGTGTTTTCAACATGAATACCTTCCTCCTGCCTAGAAATTAGGCCCCTATTTCTCCACTGACTACAGGCAGCATTGTAAACACTGCTTTTTTTTTTAGTTTTTTTTGGGGCGGGGTAGAAGTGGATACATCAGGCTCAGATTACTTTCAGTAATCTTTTTTTTCCGTATTGAAGGAAATCCATTTTCTTTTATACAACCAGAAGTCCTTACTGCCTTCACTGTAAAACCATAAAACTGTCAGTAAACCACTTTTGCTTAAAATTTCCAGAGGGCTACATGGAAACTGCTACCTCCTGTTTCCACAGTGTTTGTTCTGGGAAGGGGGTCTGGAGATAAATGTGAAAAATTAATTAGCAGGCTGTTCATTGCCTTGGCTCTTGGCCTAGACGCTGTGCTGGTGGCAATACACCAATATTACGTTGCCCAGCTTCAGTGGGGAGGAAGGACAATTGGAAATCAGTAGCATCAAATAGAAATCCCTTCTCCCCGCAACGTGTAAGCACACAGAAGGATTGAGATTTGCTTGGAAAGCTTTTAGTCTAAGCTTGAATTAGCGGAAAGAGCAAGGCAAGAGGCTGGTAGTAACAATAAGTAGTAACCAGCAAGAAAACATTATTCCCCCCAAAATAATTATTTTTTAGGGAGTGCAACTTTAGATTCCCTTAAAAGAAACCAGTTTGCAAAGGACTGGGGTATTGGATTTTTTTTTGGTGGTGGGGGGGTGGAATTAGGCATGCTTTGTAAATTCAAACTCTACCCCATAGTGTAGGAACCTAAAATAGAAAAGCATGAGCCATTTTCCTTCCTTCTCCTGTGTTACCACCCCCCCATCCCCCAAAACTTTGAGAAACAATTCTCCAGTAGCTGACTAACCCACAAAATCTTGGCAGGCTGGAAGAAGAATCTCCAGTTAAATGCCAAACCAATGAACCCTCACCTTCCCATCTCCCCAATCTGCTTCATGAAACAAAGGATGAGAAAAAGCTCGCTTTATAAGTCAGAGCTTCTCCCTTTCCTACATGATAGTAGACCTTTCCCAATCCCCCCCATTCTGTCTACTCCCTTCATCTCGCTTATACATTTTAAAATACTCATAAATCTTTTCACAAAACCTACAGAAAAAAAAAAAGGGAAAAAAAAAACCAACTCAGTGTTTATTATTTTTCAGTGCTTTTCTTCTGTGCCTGTGGTATCAACTCTGATTTTTCACAGGGAGACAGATGAAGTTTTTCAACCATGCCAGAGGAAAGTCAGCTAACTTGAATGATTTCTGCACCTGAGCCATTTGTTTACTGAAGCAGAAGGGCACACAGTTACAGATGAGCTGGATTTCAATTGCCAAAACATCTGCCAAAGCAAAGCCTTTAAAGACTTCTCAGTGACTTTAACAAATCACTCATGCACCTTGTCAAAATGCTGTGTTTTGCCAGCCTGCTCTGATGGAAAGGAGAAGACACTGTGTAAGGAAGGGCCTTCACAACAGGTATCATTTGCCTGTGTTGAAGGGAAGTGTGCTCCCAGTTTGATCTAATCACAGAATTATTTGCTCTTGTACCAGGTAGAAAATACAGTTTAAAACTCCAGCTCCTGTCCTTAATGTCACTGGTTGACTGAAACAGCTTCCCCAAGCTTTCCAACGCAGACCCATCTGCCCCTTTTTTGGTTTGGAGCAGCCTTCGGTGCTGTTTATTGTGCAACATTCTCAACCCTGTTGCAAATCCCATTCCATACCTGGTTGTTACAAGCCAGACATCCAGATTGGTGTTTTCAGGGAGGGCAGTATTTGGGGCGCTGAAGCAGCTCAGTGCAGCCTCAGAGTAAGCGGTGGCAGGATCAAGCCCAGCTCCATGTAGGACAGAGTTTGGCACTGATTACAGTGCCAGTCATAGCCACTCATTTCAGGGGTGATTTTTGGGCAGCTGCAAGTCCTCGTTTGGACTGGGCTGAAGGTCTGAGCACAGCTCAGTCTGGGTTTGACTAAACCAAGGGGTTTCCTAGCACCCATCTCATCTAGAGCTTCACAGAGTACATCACAACTTTGGGAGTCATGCTGGGGAAAACTGGTTGCTGCTCTGGAAGCAGCCAGACACTCCTTGTTTATCAGCACAGCATTTCTGTCTGAAGTGCTTCGTAGCCTTACTGGCTGTTTGTAGAGTGCATTGGAGCAACACATTTGCAGCTTGCAGTGAGAGCCTCCTTCACTCAAATTCAAAGACAACTGTAACTTTTTTAAGACTTGTTTGTAATTTGCTGAAGCCGCCTCTGTACACTGTGTCATGTTTTTCCACTCGTCCACTGTGATAATAAACAGCTTTTTTAAGAAAAAGCTGCCTGCAAGTGCTTTGGCTTTGCTAAGCCCTGTCAAGTAGACACTTGGCTAGATCAAGACAGGACAGTGACACCCTAACTAATTCTGGCTGCAGAGGAGAAGGAGGAGCTGATGCAGCTAGAGAAGGCCACTCACAGCTGCCACTGCCCCTAAGGGACCCTTCCAGCAGCCAGTGGCAATCCCATTAGGGGCACCGAGGGAAATCACGATGGTGGCTCAGGGACTGTTGCCATGCCCTGCTTCCATAGTTCCTCTGGCTACACTGACTGCAGGAGCTCTTTGTGTGTCCACTCACTGCTGGGGGCAAAGACTTGCTGGCTTGAGGTATTACCACTTGTATGTGGCTGGTGCAAGCTGTGTGTGTTTACTGGTGCCACAATAACAGAGTGGCCCTCAAGGGAGCCCCTGCTGCAGCACAGTGGGGTTCTGCTCCAGTCACACACTGCCAGGTCTTCAGGAAAGGATGCTTTTCTGAGCCTGGTGGTGCTTACTTGTGTCAGACACGCGTTTCCAGGTGTTGGACCCCGACTGGACTTGCTGGGTGGTGCAGCCTTTGGTCTTCATCCACAGCCAGTGGAGGATCCCAATCCCATGCTGTAGGAACAGCACTGATACTGAAGAGAGTGAGATACCCATGCCTTTTCCCACTCCCAGCTTCATTCCACTCCCTTACCTCAGTTCAGCAGAGGAAAACAGGAGATTGCTGCAAAGCTGTACAAATGGCTGTGGTTCAGAGCAAAGGCATCAGAGCCAGGCAACAGCAGCAAGGGATGGGTTTGCTGTGAGGAATGAGAGGTCACTGCAGAGCCTGCTCAGTTTTCAACTGATGCAACAAGTAATGCTAGCAGGAAGAAGCTACAGCTGGTAAGCAAATGTCTGGACTGCTGCTTTAGTAGGCAGAGACAAAATGGCAGGATTGAGCTAGATGAAAGTGGAGGCCAGGCTGGGAATTGTCTGCTGTACTCGAGGATTCCAAGTTTACTCACAGAAGGTGGTTTCCGCTTGCTTGCTGAGGCATCTCAGTTGCTCTGTGGGATAGGTGAGCAACTGAGATACACAAAATAGCAATAGTGGCAAGTCCTTCCTCAATACTCCGAGTGGGGACAAACTGAGAGGATGCAGGGAGTGCCACAGGTACTGGGGAGTCCACCCTTTCACCCTGGGAAATTGCTGTTTGAATCCCCTGCGAAGCTTGGCAGTGCCAAGTTAGGCAATGGTCTTTCTCCACTCCCAGAGGTAAATAAGAGCTGAGGGCATGAACTGCAAAGGTTTGAAATAACTGCCCTCAGGTACGCAGGGGAACGTGACAGCAGGGACGATGTTTCAGAGAAAACAGCAGTTTCGGGACCGTCAAGGCATGAGAGAACACTGCAGGCAGGTTGAGGAATTAAAACTGGTCTTATTCAGCCAGAGGCAAAAACTACAGCCATTGCTTTACACTGGGAAAGCAGGGGTTGTCCTGTGCCCTTGTACTCCTGCACAAACTGGGAGTCCCCGGGGTGACTGCACTGGCAAGCAGCATATTTCGGGCAGGGCTGATGCCACCTCTCCCACCCTGAGGTCAGTGTCTGGAGGGGTCAAGCAACCCATTACGGTGGCAATACATAAATTTTTTCCATGTACAGGGTCTGCAGCCACTGCTGGCACCAGAGCTGCTGACAGGGGGGCTCCCAACAGTCCCAGGAGGCTGCGCTTGGTGCAGTGCAGGTGAGCCTGGATTTGAGCACCTTGAGGCAGGTTCCATGCTTCCCTATCCCAGCCCCCAGCACGGGCAGGCTGGCTCATGAGGGGCTGCTGGTGCCACAGCTGAGAGGCCACTTCCAGCACTGGAGCGAGTGGCTGAGCCCAAGAACAAACAAGCCCTGATGTGGAAGCATTCCTTTTGCTCCCACGGGGCAGAGAGCCAGAGCTCCAGCTCCAGCAAACCCTTTGCAAACAACTAAATTATGCCCAACCTCTTGTATCTGGGTATTCATCTGATACACTGAAGGCAGCAACTTAATTAGCTGCTAAAGCCTCGCAAGTTGGGAGGCTTGGACCTCATGAACTGCAGCAAATGAAGCTGTCAAGCTTTGGTGCTCCCATTACCTGCCAGATTCTTTAATCCTGACTTTGGCAGATGTTAATCCTGGCCCGAGTGACTTGTGAAGAGGAAAACTGCTCCCTTTAGAGGACACCCGGGTCTGCTGAGGTAGGAAGCAGGTGAGGAAACCCCACCACCGGGTGGGGAAAGAGCCCCACGGTGGTTGTTCTCCTCAGTTGTTCTCTCTCAGCCTCTGATGGGGCTCGGGCAGAGGCTTGGTGGTTTGTTTGCTTTTCCTGCTGTTTGAAGCTGGTTTATAGAAGCAACTAGGACGGGAAGGGTGGGGGGGGGGGGGGGAGAGGAGGTTTCGTTAAAATTTAAACATATGTTCAAACAAAGAAATCTGTAAACAGGGTGAAAACGAAAGTAGGGCAGACGCTCAGCACAAAACATGACTCAAAAGATAACGGGCCAAATGCAGAGGCACCAAGCACCTGCAGTTTCCAGCAAGCTCAGCTGAGGACATGTCCCTGTGCTTGTGATCTGCCTCCGCTACGCTCCTGCCTTTACGAGGAGTGAGTCATCTTGCGTCAACCGAGGATGGGCTTTATGCAATTATTTATTTATGTCGAACCCTCCTCCCTGCCCCCATCCATCCCTGATCTCATCCCCCTCAGAAAACAGATGCTTTATTAAATGAGGACTGGAAAACTCTGTCTCACTTGGCTTTTCCTGAGGCTCCTTGTTGTCCAGTGAGTGGCTGGTGAGAAGGCAGCAGGCACGATCTGCACAGCACCTCACGAACAGTGTACTCATGGCCTTGTTTGGCTTTTTGGACACAGACATCGCTCTCCCTGCAGGGGGGAAGGAGCTGGGAACCTCCTCTACTCAATAAACACGCAGAAGGGATGTTTGCAGAGACGAGCAGGCTCCAGCGCGCACCTCCCCGGGCACAGACAGAGCTCAGGTGTCACAGCCTCAGAAGGGGAACGAGACCTTCCAGCACAGTGCACTCAAAAGCCAAGGGGAGAAAACTTCCCCCTTCAGCTCCAGCTGCTGCAGGGGACTCTCGCCCCCTCCCTGCTCTCTTTGCTGCAGGCTGTGTGTTGTGTTCCCCTTCCTGCTGAAAGCGGTGCAGCATCCAGAAACGGACATGGACCACTGCCTGTACCAAACAACAGCGTGTGGTAGCAGGGCCAGACACACACGCACACACACACACCCCCCACACACACACACCTGCAACATCACCATCTATTGCTGACAGTTCCCAGGAATAGGCTGGGGCCAGCACAGCATCCCAGTTCACCCTCCAAGACAAGCAACTTGGGGCAGAGGTGGCATGTCCCATGTTCCAACTATAGGCAAGAAGGTCGGATATGATACCAACAGATGCCACTAATTTGAATTTCACCCATGAAATCCTGTACCTACTGAACTGGAATGATTTCCAGTAGATTTTCCTGATGCAAAGCCAAACTTGGCTCTAACTGGCTATCAATTTCTTCCATAATACAGCTCAAGACTGAGGAGAAAAACCACGGAGATTACTGGCAGTGAAGGGATTCAGGCTTTCCAGAAGGCAATCAGGGTGGGGGGGTTGGGGTGGTGGGAAAAAAGTTACACTAACAAGAGGTAGAGACATGTTCCTCAGTAATTACATCCAACTGTCCCTCGGTGCAGATTTGAATAATTCATGCATTAAAACTATCATCTCCCACAGGGAGAATTGTGATGTTCCAATTGTCACTGTGCTTTAGCAATGGGTTCAGCTACTCCCAGCCACACTAATAGGCTTATCTCAAAAGTGGAGGAAGCCAGGACGGACACCCAGCCTTGGAGAAGCCTGAGCCATAAATCCATGCATGCCTGACAGTCCCCCTGGCTGGGACCAGCCCCCTGTTTGGTTGGGATGCAACACACCAAGGTAAGAGGCGGCATTACCCTCCTGGAGAGTGAACTCCTTTCATTTTCTCCCACGTCCTCCACATAACCTTGGTGAAATGTGCTTTAGTTTTGTTAAAAGCACCCGCAGATCCATTCACAACTCATGTAGGTGGAGAGGTGTTAAAATCTCACTCTCCCCACATGAGACTTACACTGTATACTATCCAAAACCACATGGCTCATCTGTACTCCTGCCCTCATCTCATGTACTTTTAGCACAAGGGCTGCAGGTCCTCAGCTGCTGCCAGGGCAGGCAGGAAGATTTGGAGTGGTAACGCAGCCAGCCAGGTCTCTCACACCCACAGCTCCCTGCTGCAGGCAGCGCTGGAGGCAACCCGACTTGCTGGGCAGCTGCAGCCACTGCCCCGGGAGAAAGTGTCCAGGCAATGGCCATAGCAGTGCTCTGCCCTTGCCAGAGAGGAGGATTTAATGTCTTCAGCGGCTCTGGGCAGCTCCAGCACCATGTCTCTGCGGGAGCCTGTTGTAGTAGCCTCCTCCCAGCTCTTTAGGGACAGACAGGAGAGTCTGGGTGACCATCAGGGACAAAGAAATCCATGCACTGCCCAGTCATGGGTAGGCTGGCAGGGAGTCAGTTTTAGAGAGGAAACTATGAAGTGTTTTGGGAGGAAGTGAGAGCGGTATTTGGGTAGAGGAAACTGAAGGAAAGAGCAGTGTATTAATCTACCTCGATGTTTTGACGGAGCTTCCCAGACCCCAGTTGATGAGAAGGGGCTGTTAGTTACCCTCATCCTCCCACTTTTTTTTTTTTTTTTCTCTTTTGAAACCACCCATGAGATTCCCCACCTTCAGACCTGGCAGCTCTAATGTATGCTAACCTTGACGGCCATCACATCTGCTGAAGATCAACAGAGGACACACCAACCAGAGACGTCTTGGCCCCAGCCCCCAGGAAAATAGCGGCTCCATCACCTCTGTTCTGTTGAGACCGTCCTTGGCCAGATATACACCTGCTTGCAGGACAGGTGAAAAGTCAGAGGGACTTGGAGGTGCCAGAGGCTGGCCCAGAGAGTCTGCACTCCTACCTGCAGGACTGCAGACAGGTGAGATACCAAGCTGCTCTTCTAGCTGTGACTACACCATGCATTGCTTTTCCTTCCTCTGCTTCAGCTCAGTCTCCAGCACAGACACACAGAAGCTCTGTCCCACAGCAGCGCCTCTTTCACTAATACTAAAAAAAAAAACCATCCCAAAAACCACCACCTGAAAGTGTGAGGAAAACTGTGCTTCAAAAGATTTATTACATATATTTGTACATATTTTACATGAATGGAATGTTAAACATACAACCTAAAAATCAATAAAAAAATATTTTCATTCATGATTATGTACTGGCAAACCACTGAAAAGAGTACCTTAGAACAACTTAAGTCAACTTGCAATCGTACTGCTCAATTAAAAAAAAAACCAACAAAACAAACAAACAAACAAACAAACATGTTTTACATTAGACATTGCAAATTACATTCCAATTTCTGCTCTGGGTAATGAAGGAAGATATCTTGTCCATTACCACTGCACATACGGGTGGCATTTCAGAAGCTAGCAAGGAGTTCCCTCTAACTTGCTGTGGGCAGGGTTAGCTCTGTAGGAAGAGGCATATAAAAAAGGGAATGCACACTGGGCTCCCTACCAGCAAGCACCTGCCAAAGGCTAGGAAGAGCCAGAATGAGATTCACAATCAAGTGATAAGGTTAACGCTGGATCACCACTGTGTCAGTGGGACATTACAGCTCTTAATATTTGTTACACGTAGTTTTTAAGCAGCTCATTAAAGCATCCCCTCTACAGCTAAGCCACCCCCCTTCTTCCTTGAAAGTTACAGTGTTTTGGCAATATCAGGTAGGGGAAAATTCTTGACTGTATGGTAATGAATACTCCAGGCTTCATTCTTAACAAGAAGAGCACAGAATCAAGCTTTGATGTCTCTTCCTCTTAGCATTTCACACCTTGAGAGCTTGTGACCAGTCATGTTGAGAAGTGTTTACTATTAAATAGAACAAATTAGCAATAAAAGGGACAGATTTGAGGGAAAACAAGAGGAGCGGGATTCATCAACAGATTATGTTCCTGCAATGTCGGGTTACTTACACTTGAAATTCTGCCAGAATCGAGCAAATCCTATTTATTGTTGCAAAACCTTTGCCAAAGCACACCCAAGGGCAAAAGTCTCTCAAACAAACACACATAGATTAAAAGCTGCCAGAAAGATCAGCTAGTGGGCTGGCTGCCTTCTACTTCTTGTACACTGGCAACTTATTAGATCAAAACCAGAACAAAGTCCAACCTTTTTCAGGTGCAGGATATTCCTTACAGTAGTTTACCTGAGCAAGTCTTCAGCAACTAATAATGCCCCACAGTGAGGTCATTTTACAGCTTATCCCATCATCAGCTCTGATGTAGTAATTGAGACATGACTTTACAGAACACAATGCAGCAGCTTGGGAAGCCAGCCTACAACTGTGTAGTAAGATAACCAAATGCAATCTGAGAGTAAGGACTGGGTTGGATTTTTTTTAACCCCCAACAGGCTACAATATCTTCTACTTGATTTTAGAAGCAGGTTAATTTATATGGAGAAACAGAAACACAATGAGTTTTATATTCAGGAAACAAATCCTGGACATAGTTCTGTCGTGACTTGCTCACACAGAATGTTTTGAATGACAAAAAGTTAAGCAGTACGAGCTGCGTGAAAAAATCATATTTGGCTGGATTGTAGGAAACCCGTAACAAGCCTCCCCTTCCAGTTACAACCTCATATATTACTTTTGCTGATGCCAGTGGAAAGCCTGTCCAAAGATTGAGGGAATATGGCCTGAAATATATCATGTTTTTCTTCAGCTAAGAAGAGAAGAAATTGATAGTAAAATGACTTTTAAGCTTGGAAGGGTGGAAGGTAAATCATAAAATGTAGCACTCATCAAAAACTGAGATAATTCCTCCACTGGCAAAGGTGAGCTGGAAGATCCCAAAGCAACACTTCTGCACTCCCAGGTATATGGTAGTCTCTCAGCAGGAAACTCCCAACTGCCCAGCAAAATGAGAAGATACAAAGCAATACCAATTTTGCACACGAATGTTCTCTTTGAATGTGGGAAAGCAGCTAAAATCCACAGAAACTCAGAGATCATGGCTTGTATCAAAACCAAGATATGTTTTGCTGCTGTTTATGTAGAGAGAATAGAAATATTCAACTGCCAAGTTCCTTGCTTTTGGGTGGAACACAGAAGAAATGGAGCAAGTTTCTGAAGCCCACACATGGAAAAGGCAGCATACCAAAAGCATCCATAAGCACATCTTATGTATTAGACATTATGCATCCAGAAACACCAAATATCCACATTTCTGAATAAAAAGTATCTTTCTCGTATTTGTTGAGATTTTAGTCTCCTGGGAGTCCATTTTACCAGCTCTCCAGCCTTTCAGGAAAGACTTAAAAAGCCAGTGCTCCTAACATTAAGAAGTAGGACAAATGTTTTAATCTTGAGATTCGGTAATAAACCCCCTTTACACCATAAAGAGGGGGAGCAAGGAAAAAAAACAAGGTCACAAGTACATACCCAAGTTTTTGTACATCACCTATATGTTTTCCATTTCAAAATACCTCAGTACACTTCAACTTGAATATGACAGCTACCTTGACTTAACTTTGAGTAAGACCATCTGGTTTTGGCCTTATTTCTCCCAAAAATGAAATACCGAAAGTTCGTGGTGTGCTTTGTATTTTTGCTTTTACATCCCACTGAACTCGTCGTTGAATGTACACACTGAAAGAAAATTAGCTGCCTCCTTTAAAAGGGAAGGGTTGTTCTAGATATACTGACTCGTAAGAGACAGGGCAAAGGGTGCCCTGTGCCAACAGTAGTGTGGCTCTCTTGGTATTGTAGGGATATGGTTATATACAGTCCAACTCACAGCCACCTCCACTATGAACTTCAAAACACAAGTTGCTACTGAAGAGACATGGGTATGTTACAAGTTCAGAAAAATCTCATGTTTCAAGACAGTGTCCAGTCTACTCTTCCCCTGCTGGCAAGCAGCATGTTTATGGCAGACCTGAGTATGGGAATTATTTCACACCTTTACATACTTAGGGAAGATATAGGCCAGATGACAGAAAAATACTCTGAAACAGCACAGAATTGGCAATCAAGATATTTACAGGCAAAGAAGCATATCGCACCGTCATGTAAGTTATTGCTTCTTGTGGACAAGTGTGGTATTCCTTGATCAAGAACACAGGACTTGTTTGGTGTTTTATTCTCCCCTTCTGAAGCACAATGACTCAGCACCCCTGTGAGGACGTTTTCAAAATGAAGGTGTTGCCTATGACTAGAGCTATGCCTACAGCATGGTCATCAGCAACTGATGGTGACAGAAAGCTTACCTAAGTGAGTTTCCATAGGCGTTTTCAACCCCAAGCATCACTGCCGTGCTTCCAGGGTCATTCCAGGCTTGGTCTGTATTACAGGTTTTGATACAAGAAAACCCCCCCACAGTCTTTCAGAAGAGATTCATGGATACCAAAAACGTCAAACTAAGGCTGACCTCTTGTCAGTTCCTCAAATAATCCAAGGTATTGCTGCTCTACTGTGCTGATGGAAGCAGTGATGGACTCTTGCCTGCAAAACCATGCACAGTGCATTGGTTTGTGGCGTGCCTTTCTAACACTGCTCCTAAACATGGGACAGCAGTGGTAACGGCTGGGTCTTTAAATCAGCTACTACCATGAACTACCAAAACTGAGCTCAAGTTGTAAACAGATTTGTGTTTATAATATTTACCTACTTAATCCCCAAGCCAAAGCCTACCAATGACCTCAGAGCACAGGACATCAAAACACTTACCTACCCCCTTTACATTACTACAGGTGAGTTTCTGTAGGCATGAAGCCAACAGCAAACATTGAATCAACGCAAAATGCAAAAGCTTTACTTTCAGAAGATATCAGGAATTTAAAACATCGAAAAAGTGGGCCTGCAGGCAACACCACTATTTGAGTATAACAGGTGCTGTAATTCCTCATCCCCTCCCTCCCTCCCCCAAGATAATACAAGGCAACACAAATATTCTTATTGAGAAAGGGCTCTTTACAGGGAACGACTGTACATTTGATGTGACTATGGAATTGATCGAGTGACAAAATGATTCTGCTCCCACTGAAAAAGAGAATTCAACAGGGCCCCATAGTTACAGGTTCCGCTGAAACCAGTGATGCAAGCCCAAAAGTGTAGAAACTGCACTGGCAACTACAACAATTATCTCGTTCGGACTCCTTTAGATTTGCAGCGTAACAAAGGCATTTTACAGAGCAACATTCAGGAGGAAATGTTATCCAGGGAAGAACTGCTCTTCAAGCAAGATGGGAGAGTTTAAGAACATGCACTGCACTTGTTCTCCAGATAGCAGCAGTTGCTCCTGTTCTTTGCCCTTTTTGATATGAATCACAGTAGCAACAGAGAGAAATGTGTACTTAAACAAAAAAAAAAGAAAACCAGAATTATTTATGTACAAGAAAAATGTTTGAAGTGTTGTGCAACTTATTTTAACTATTGAAACTCACTAAGAATGCTGTTGCTAATAAATATTCATAAACTCTTCCCTGTGCTGTGAAATTCAGAAACTACTACAATTAATTCTCAATATAAAAAGTATGCTTCTAAGCCCTGATAACTGTTCCAGTTTATTGTCTTTTTTTCCCTGTCTTTTTTTTATTTTAACTGTGATACTTTATGGGAACTAATATTTATACACAGTTTTACTTGGTGTACCCACCCAGAGACATCCTGTGTTTCATGGAGCCTTGGTTACAACAATATAATACAGTAAAATAATAATAAATTAAACAAATGCAGATGCATTTTAAAAAAAAACAATAACCAAAACAAACCACACTATCAAATGCTGGTCTCCACATGAAGAGACCAAGGGTTTAGATGCAAAGTACTACAGATCCTGCCACCAAAAAAACATTCAAACAAGGAAACATGAACTTGCACATGTTTTAAAAATTAAACGCAAATCCCACCTCGATGTTATCTTGCCCGTGCCTATAAAAACCTCTCGCTGTGCCCACATTTGCAGTTATTCATTTACACCTCAGGAGGCAGCCTGGAGATGAGAGTAGTACAATAAAATAATTACCTGAAACATCTTTAAAAAAATACCCGTTAAACAAATTACCTTAACTGGCAGCACTTAAAATTGGTAATTCTTTTCTTTTTCCTATTTTAAAAAAAGTTGCATAGCTGTAAGATTTTGCTTTGCTGCATTTTTTTTTTTTTTGTAGTTTTTACTCACAAGCAGTAAAAGAGACGTTTTAGTTACTTAAATAGCAATACAATGTGCAGATCTCAACAATCTCTATAGCTTGATCGATATAAATTTGTTACCTGTCTTGGTTTTACTCTTTGGACTGCATTGTGACAAAGGTTTAGTTACAAAATTTTGAAATATTCCTACGCAGAGCAGTTTATGTTTTCTGTTCTTGAAAAAAGTGAAGAACATAAAACCAGGTGTGAATTCAGTAAATTAAGGTCACACTATTAGAATTTATTTAGTTTGCCATTTGCTATTCTTCAGCCAACGAGAAGGTGAAAACGCTCCCACTCGAATCCGGGGCCGTCCTCCTGCAAGGGTCTCAGATAGCACGTATCGAACATCTCTGCTTCCACTCGAGGCAGTGGGAAACATGTCCAATAACTCGCTTCTTCACAGAACCAGAAGTTAGGCTGAAATTAGGAACTTTGGCCTTCGATACAAAATAGTGTCAGTAATGTCTTGTGGGGAGTCGATTGTTACAGGATGTGCAGCATTTTCAAAATCCCTGTGTGTCCTTTGCATGAGTGTTTGGTATACTGAGCACTACTGGCAAGTAACCGGTGTCTGCAATGCTTTTTCCATGTCACTGTCCATCTTTGCCTTTTTCAGCCACAAAGAACTGTAAGTCTCAAGCCAGGCACGCTGTGTTCAGCAACGGAACCTCACATCTCCTATGTTTTCTGATCAGTGGAAGCAGCTGTTGGAAAAGCAGAAGACAAAGTAACATCATTTCAGCTATTTCGGTACAGAACACACTCAAACAGCAGGAGCATAACTACCGTGCTTTCCTTCCCCTTTTTCCTAAGACCCCAGCTATCACCATTCTGCTATGAACAAGGCAAATAGAATTTAATATGAAGTTCAACACCCATGAGCGTGTACAGACACAAAGGTGCTCATGATCAGCATGCGGGCTTCTGCCACAGTCAGTAGCTGGGGGCAATATAGGAAATGTGTTTGTTTATTAATTTTGGCTAACACTGCCCTGAGAATCAAACAATTATCCCTGTAGAAGGATACTTTCCTTCAGGTTTTCTCTTCTACCCCTGCAACACAGACTCAGGAAGCAACATGAAATAAATGCACAAATAAATGCCAGTGATAAAGACTTCAGTCTCCCTCAGAACAACAAAACCAAACCCTCAGACACCAGCTAGAATTTCAGATATCTCTGTGTCTCTAAAAATTATGATGATTGTTAGTGTGTTTTTCAATGCTTAGGGGCTTAATGTAAGATAAAGTTTTCAAGCTAGTCAACTAAAAGAATAAACCCATCCTTAAACTTTTGACATTGACTGCAGATCTGCAATCATTAACACAAAACATAAGTTGGAAATATGTGAGCCTCCATGAGATGGGATGGATAGAAACATGTCAACATTTTTTATTTATTTATATACTTTAAACATTCTGGAATGCATTAACATGAAAGCAGTTTTGAAAATACCTAGTTTCAACTTTTTCATATGATTCCAAAAGCTTTCTGTCAGTACAAATGCCAATATTCACGAAACAATCCAAAATTACACAATTATATTATTTTGTTTAATTTCCACGGAAAAATATTCTTCAGAAGTTAATTCTAAAGCTTTAAATTGCCATTACTTGCCACTTTCCAGTACTGAAACTGGAACACAATATTTCAGACCATGCCTTGTAAGGATGCAGAAACCTTTTACCTATATTGCAATATACGTCAATGCTTACTGATTAATACTGTAGTTCTGAGACATGGTAGCAAATTCACAAATGAAAAAACCCAGTATAAAGAGCTACTTCAGATAATCAAGATATTTATTGTTGAAAGGTAAATGTTTAAAAATAAACATTACCTAAAAACATGAATCTTGTCTTAATCTGATGGATGCTCAGGGCAAGATCGATTTACTTCAAACCATTCATCTATGCAGCTGTTGGATGCAAAACAAAAGTGAAAACAATTGACATGAATATCAGAAACATTTAGCAGTAAGATATGAATATAAATCGGTTTCTTATAATTTCAATGACTAGTAGGATTTTATATTATACAAAGTATATCATATACACACATCATTGGAAAAATTAATAACCACAAACCACAATAATATTTAGATATTAAACACTGTTGAAAAACTAAATTTCCTAAGTGTTAAAATCTTCTCAGGAAGCATTTTACAAGTTACTATCCAGCTTTTATACACAGGTTACTTCTCTACTAACTTTATCATTTTGCTTATGTTATTCATTGACATTTTACTTCCTGTAGTTCCAGACACTTGTGAAAACAAAATATGAAACAGGTTTAAAAAGCATTCCCCCTCCTCCCCGCCCACATCTATTAGCATTTGACAAAACATAAGCACACTAAGCTCCTCAGCCATGGTGTGCACTCCTTCCCCATACAGGTGATTTTGCAAGAATGAGAAGATTATAGCAGGGAAAAACAACTTCAAATACATGGTGAAGATGCAGAGAGATGCCATTTAAAAAACCTCTTTAGGGTTGCTGCTGTCATTTCTCTGTTGTTTGTTTTTAAATGTAAAAAGCAACTAAATTTTAAAGCTCCTTTAAGTACCCCTTAAGGAGTTACCCAGTGAATGTAACCTTCTTATATTTTATATCCATCCCAAGGAATACTTGCCCTTTATGATATATGCAGAGGCAAGGCAGCCGTGCTATAGTATCTCCTTGCTGCAGCTCTTCCAGGCATATTGCACACTCCCCAGCATCTTTACTCAGCACATCCTCTGATGAAAGAGCACAAAGTGAAATGGTTAAAAAAGGCAAACTACTACAAGCAAAATGTTGCTTATTCAGAACATCAAGGATGGTTACAGAAGAAGATATTTCTTGTCCTGCAGAAAGCCCTGTCAAGGTAAGGTTAAGTGACACAGCAGCTGACTGAAGATTCATAATGAGAGATCCCTTCTCACCTCGAATTAAAATATGGCTATGATTCCATTTCTTGCCTGAACAATACTGCCATAGCTCAAAATTAAGTCCTACAGGAAGACACCCACATGCAGAAAAAGGGTACCCATAACCAACAGTCAGTATTCCTTTGGAATTTATACTGTCCCAGCAGACCCATAACCCATCACACAGGCTCTGAACTGCACAGCCACAGCAGACAAACACTGTGTTTGCCAACCCCAAGAGCTAAACATTGGAGAAGGTGGGCTCTTGATACAGATGGTATGTAATGCCTCCAGGACTGCTTTGAGGATTCATGCTAAGTAGGATTTTCTTAGTTGTACTTTCTTCCTTATGCTCAGTTTTCAACATGGAGGTTAAGGTCAAGCCTGAATGTAACATTTTGCTGGACAAGGCACTGTAGGTAAGTAACTAGATAAAATTCTTCCTAACTTCTAAACGCTTAGCCTATAATTTGTTTGAGGTTTTGTTTGTTTGTTTGTTTTTGTTTTGTTGGTTTGTTTTTGGTTTTGTTTTTTTTGGTTTTTTTTACTCTCCTACCCATCTGGCTTTCTTTTACCAGCCTTGCTCATATTTCACACCTTCAAACCCCTTCTCACTATTCTAGTAAGTTTTGCATCCCATCCACCTTTTTTTCTCGATGTAAAGTATCCAACTGTTAGCTGTAAGAATGGGAGATTTCCATCAGGGAAAAGATCAGTGCTGTATGGCTCCAATGACCCTAAACTCCTGGAGACACTGAATTTTTTGCAGCATTACCAAGTCCCATAACAAAAGAGGAAAAAGTAAGCTACTAGGAATGCAAAAGAGTTGGCTTTCAAAAAGAAGTTTCTGGGAAAACATATTATTTTTAATAAAAACCTTCTCTCTTGGACACTTCTCTCAGCCAGAATGTGGGATGCCGAATTCAGGCTTAGTATGACACAAAACAGGAGATCACGAAAGGCCCTGTTTGCCAGAAGCAGATTAAAAGTCCCATTTACACACAACCTCACACAGCCCACAGAGCACTCCCAACACGGGACCACATAGCAACCAAGCTGGCAGTGCAGTCTCTGGCACGATCAGAAAGGTGCACACTTGGCAAAGTAAAGCCCACGTGTCCAAGTTTCCACAGTTTCATGGGAAAAGCTTCCCCTTCTTTACCAAAAGCACGTAAAGTGATTGTTTATGGAGAGTGCCGTTTCCAGGTAGGAGTGTTCTCTCTGGTGGCTCCAATAACTCACCATTGGCTTTCCAAACACAGAAAACGACAGACAACTAAAAAGCTATCATGGCAGCAAAAAAAACAAAAGGAAATTAGGTCTACATTGTTTCCATTAAATGACAGCAAGCTGACTTGCAGGTGCTTGGGTTTCTAAAACAGTGTTTATTTCAGTCTCTGCTATATTCATTGGTTATACTAAAAACACCAGATAATGCCACCTTCCTGAGGAGGGGTGAAAAATACATAACATGAAGTGAACTGTTGCAAAGAAGAACATTCAAAACAAAATAATGAACAATATATATCCACCACAATGAAGAAAATTTTAAAAATGTATTTCACATGTGGTAACATTATTGGTAGGCATTGTATTAAAAATCTGCTTCTGTTGCTCTATCAGAAGTTGTAAGCTTCTGAGAACATTAGAGATACTTGAGAGGCAAAGTAATTTAAAAAAATACAAAAGATTTTAAGAACTCTTATGTGTCTCCTTGCCCAGAAGAGGGTGCTTGGGATAAATACTTTCTTAAGGTTGGTTTTTGGTGGTTGTTGGGGGTAAGTTTTTTTGTTGTTGTTGGGTTTTGTTGTTGCTGTTTTGTTTGTTTGGTTTTTTCGGTTAGTTTTTAATAAAAAGATATTCTAATCTCTGACACCAGGAGGCACATACTCTCCAGACAGCATTATCTTGCTACAGAGATATTAATCTTTGCCTGAGGCCCTCAGACATTACCTTGCTAGACCACCTCTTTGCACAAGAACTTTGCCAAGAGTCCTATGGGCAGCTCTGCTTTGTTCCCACAGTTAGGTTGCAGGAAGCAGCACCATTAATAATGCAAGCATGTATCATGTACACAAAACATACTTAATAAAAGTGGGTTTTTTCCCTTTATCAGATCAGCAACTGGTACCTAAAACAAAATGGCCCTAAGAATACCTCCAGTGTATTAAATCCCAGCCTTGCTCCCTCACCATTCTCGAGAGGGAAGCATTTAGTCAAGCTCTGACAACAGAAATTAAAAAGCTGTCCGATAAAAATACAGTTCATAAAATGAAGCATTCCTGTGAACTGCTTTCCCATCATTCTCTATTGTACATGTCTGGCTTATCCTGCACTCCCCAGACTGCACAACACTCGGGTCTGAACTCCCACTGAGCAATTTAACAATGTTCTGCACCTTTGGCTAACGTTAGGGCACGATGCCAACTTAAACATTTGTATCTTCCACCAGCCCTGGCGCAAGTGTCTGACACTCCTTTTATTTTCCCTCCAGTATTCCTGTACTCTCCCTCTTGCCAATACTGGCCCTACTGCACAAGTCCCTGGCAAACAGCTTGCTGCCCTCCCTGGCTTCACCCCAGGCTTTCCGACTGGGATGAGCCACCAGGCACACGCTGGGCTTTGCCTAATCCTGCCAGAGGGAGCCGGTATGAACGCCGATGACGGCTGGCATGGACTGGGCCTCAGAAACACAGTGGAGTTCTGCCACTCCTGCAGAAGAGATTTTAACAGGTTTCAATGCTCCTCTTCCTCTGGAATAATGAGGAGTTCAGTATTCCCTACTTCTTGTGTTAACCTTATTAATCCTGCCAGGCTCTTGTGCAAAAATACTGAAGGCATGACAACAAAACACCCAGCTGCTATAAATGTCCACATATAGCTTGGCACTACATGTTAGCAGACTCCAAATCCATGTAATTAAGCTCATAATTAATTATGTAGAGTGACAACAGCAAAACCAAATCCTTCATGGACCTACAACATTTTGGGTATGCTACCTTTTGACCACTTTAGGTGATTCAGATCATCAGTCCCAGAGAATGAAAGAGGAGAGAATAATCCTGTTAGACCTGGATCTGGTCAGAATTTGTTGTGTACTTATTTCACACGGCACTCTCCTGTATCAACACTGGCTTATATCAGACGGAAGTCAGTTTAAGGGCCATTTAACAATGACTTTTAAACCTGTCTGTTACAGAAAAAACTGTAAATCATTTTGCACCAAACCACTGCAGTTTAAACAGTTTTTTTTGTTTTCATCTTTTCCTGCAGTGGAGTGATTCAGCAGATACACATTATTTGTTTCTTTTTCTCTTAAAAAACCAAACCAAACAAACAAAAACCAAAAGAAAAAACAGTGAAACAGTTCTAAATGTCATCAATGTTATGATTAAAACATTTATATCAGTGTACTACCTAAATGGAAGTGGGAAGAGGAAATAAGCATTTTTCCATTTTGCCCACATGTGGGTACATACACAAATACCACACCCCCACATCCATCTGCCTTGCACCAAATAGGAGGTAAACACTCCTCTGCCTTCCCAGCTACTTGAAAAAGTACTCACCAGCCAAAGACTGGTGTCAAAGATGAAATCTGGCAAAAGAGCATAGTATTCCCCTCCTGAGTCTGCTCAAGTACTTCTTCCTCCCCTCCTCTATCCCTTGTTACTACTACTACTGTTTTAAATTCCGGTTGTCAGTACTTTTTCCTCCAGAAATTCTGCTTTTACCTTCAGTGGAAAATAAATTCTACTCCATCCTGCACTTATAGCAAAATAGTAGTATTGAATGAAAATACAATCATCCTGGCAAATTTGCACATACTTTACCAATTAAAGACTTTTTCTAGAACTTTTGAAAATATGTCCAACAATTACAAAAGCCACTAACTCAGCCATGGTTGGGATTATAGGCAATGTCTGTGATTAAATTGTCTTTAAACTTAGGACTGCAAAAGCACATGCAATACATACCTTATGGAATAAGTATTTAAAATCTGTGCTCCTGCTTTCTGTTTTTCCTTCTAAAACACAGATATAGCCCTAGGCTCAAGAAACACCAATTCACGAATCATGGAGATGTCAATAGTATTTAGGGAGATATCACTTTATAGCTGCAGTATTTTATTTCTATCTAGGCATTCATTGGAAACAGAAAACCAAGTTAGAAACATCTCTGACCTAATCAAGTACAAAAATTTTTCAAAATACATGTATTTTTATTAAAATTTAAAACATTAGATGTCTATGGAAGCTGCCACCATAACTAGCTTAATAGTGAAGGGCACCACAAGAGTCCGCTCTTTCAGGAACACAACTGAAACTTAAGATACTGTTCAAAAAGTGTTTCAATTATGAGAACTAAAACTGGTAAAACAAAAGCCATAAGAGTTCAAAAAAATACTGATGAAGCTTCATTAGACGGTACATATTACCATTACTTCATTACATGGCACCATGTATCTGTTACACATTCATTAATTCGTGAAGTTGATTACTAAAAACTGCCTCAGTAAAGTACTAAAGACTGTCTTTGCTTGTTTTTAAATGGAGTATGTAGAGCTCTAGAGTAATAGCCAACATTTTCACGAGTATAGAATAAATTCACCCATATTGCAGAATTTATTCTACATTTTTTACTGATATCACAACTAGTCAAGGAGAATCTGCACGTTCCACACGTATTTTACTATTCGGTAGCTGGCAAGCATGTGTGTATGTGATTAACACATTCTTATTACATGTCACTGACTTGGTTTACTAAATCTTTCTGGCTTCTGCTGCATCTGTTTTTTTCCCCTCTACATTTCTTTCCAGCTATTTCCT